TGGCGTCAGTGACGTTAACAAACACCTTGGCGGTGTCAAAGCGGGTGCCGTCGCTCGCCGTGACAGTGAGGACGTACTGGCGTTCCAGTTTGTAGTCCAGAGGCAAAGCCAGCGTAATGAGCCCACCCCCGCTCTGGCTCGTGATGGAGAATCTGTTGCGGGTGTTTCCACTCGCGATCTGATACGTCACCACGCCGTTGATATCCTGGTCCACAGCTGACACGGTCACCACGCTGGTCCCCACGGCCGCGTCTTCATTTAGTCTCATGTAATACGCCTTCTGCGTGAACTCTGGGTTGTTGTCGTTGACGTCCAGGATCGTCATGCTGATGCTGGCTGAAGATGACATGACGGGGTAGCCGTGATCACGTGCCTCCACTCCGAAGTTGTAAAAGTCCACGCTCTCCCTGTCCAGCTCGGCTGCGACTACAATCCACCCCGTGCTATTATTGATGGAGAAAGGGAAGTTTGGTGTGGTTTCAGTGAGCCGATACTCCAGCCTGGAGTTTTCTCCAGAGTCTGCATCGACAGCCTGGATGTGGATGATGGAGTAACCCAGCGGCACATTTTCCAGCACGGTGGCCTGGAATGGCGTGCTGACAAAAATGGGGGCGTTGTCGTTAACATCCAGCACCTGCACCGTAACCAGGCCGCTGATGTTGGACAGCGGTGGGCGTCCCCCATCCTGAGCTCTGATTCTCAGCGTGTATTCTTTGTTTGCCTCATAATCCAGGTGGCTCACCAGGTCCATTTTACCTGTCTGAGCATCGATATAAAACTGCCCGCGGGTGTTTCCGCTCATGATGCTGAAGTGAACGACAGCGTTGCTCCCTCTGTCCTGATCTGTTGCAGTGACCTGCAGGATCTCTGTGTTAGGGGTCATGTCCTCGGGCACCTGGACCACGTAGCGCTTTTCACTGAACTGAGGAGCGTTATCGTTATCATCTTCTACCACAATGTGAACAGTAGCTGTGGCGCTGCGGGGCCCGGGGTCACGACCTTGGTCATTCGCCTCAACTAACAGCATATAGGCTTCCACCTCTTCTCTGTCCACCAGCCCCTTGGTGCGAATTACGCCAGACCTGGAATCAATCTCAAACACATCATTGGACCCATTATTGTTGAGGATGTTATATAGGATGTTCCCATTAATGGGGGCATCTCCGTCTGTCGCCCTCACTGTTAACACCTCATAGCCTATTTCTAGGTTCTCCCTGATACTTTCCTTATAGTCCTGTTGCTCAAACACAGGGCTGTGATCGTTAGTGTCACTGACTGTGATAGTGAGTGTGGCCATGGCTGTGCGCCGGGGTGTGCCGTGGTCCACTGCGGTCACACGAAACACATGGGTGTCTTTTGTTTCCCGGTCCAGCACTTCTACTGTAGACACAGCACCGCTGGACGGGTCCACAGCAAAAAGATGGTTCGAGCGGCTGTCAAAGAGAGCTTCAATAAAATACTCCAGCCTGCCTGCCTCGCCTTCATCCACATCCACTGCTTTCAAAACAACAACAGGAGTCCCGGCGGGCTTATTCTCTGCCACAGACACTTGATACATTGGTGGTTGAAACTGGGGGCTGCTGTTGATGCTTCTTCTACTCCTGCTTAAAATCCCTGAATCAGACTGAGCTGCCCTTTGTAACAGCTTCTCTATGTGACCCTGCCTAAAGGGGCCCTCTCCCACACGCCAGTGGATGGAGATGGGACTGACTTGAACATTCAGCCCACTACCTGTGAGTACATCACAGAGGACGTCCAGCTCCAGGAGAGTGTCCTGCCTCCAGCACAGCTTCTCAGACACAAACAAGTTCCCGTCGTTGAAATAAAACTCATGGCTGTTGGTGACTTTGCAGCGGATCGGAGGGCCAGGCAGTAGACCTCCCACTGGGAATAGAGCAGAATCTGCTCGGTGGCACTCTAAGCTGTGATGGCTGTGGGTACTGAGCAAAGTGAGGACCTCCATGTCCCACTGAGGTTTTCTTTTACGCGTGTTTGAACAGTTCCTACCGTGTACATGCACCTGGTACTGGCTGGTGAGGAGGTGCCTGTAGCCGGAGTCCGCGCAGTCCTCCACGGTGTACAAGGTGAAGGGGTTTGAGCGCAGCGAGGGGCACTTTATGGAGCCCGAAACAAACACGATGCCCGCTACCGCGTCAGCCTCCAGGAACCCCTCGGTGAATTTTGGAGCCAGCACCTGATCCAGAGTGCACCGCGCGCCCCGCTCCGCGCCGGCCACCACCGCGCTCGCTCCGCCATCCTCACCGATGTGTACAACGTAACAGCGGATCAGTGGGACCAGTTTACAACAGCAGAGTAACAGCAACAAATCCCATTTAACGAAGTGCATCGCTCCTCAGTTTGTGCGCCCGTGTGGCGAATTCTGCGGCTCCTAATTTCTTTAAACTTTCCACCGGTAAGTTTCCCTTTGTTGAAGAAGAGCCATGCTCTCAGCGGGCGCACTCCTCTCCGCTCACTCCGGCTGACGTTTTTAAGAGGTTAACCCGCAGTAACCTTGGCCGGAGCTGCACTCACATCCACACAAACGCACACACACACACTCACACACGCCGGCTAGCAGCAGCAGCAAAACCTCCGCTCCGTCCGCGCAACTCAGCTTCAATGAGAAAAATGGCTCCTTCTCCCCCCCCAGTGTCTCCAGGCTCCTCATTATAATAAACCTGTGTGTGAGAGAGAGAAAGAGAGAGAGAGAGAGAGAGAGAGAGAGAGAGAGGGAGAGAGAAGCTCTATAGGGGTCTGAGGACTTGACAGAAAGCCTGCCACTGGAGATAAATGGAAACTTCCCATAAGCGTCATTAATTAACGCAGAACAACAGCAGCAATTCAAAGTCGGATTAAGGAGTTCATTAGACAACATTCAGTTCATTAGTATAGTATTAATGCTGCACTCACTAATAACAATTAAGAAGAACCGTTTTGATCACGCCCAATACCCACCACTCACCTCCGGAATGGTTTGGCTCATTAACCGGTCGGAATTCCTTAAATTGTGGGTTTTGGCTGACCTTGTTTCAACCCAAGATAAGTTGCATTCTCGGGCTCGTGTTAAAAAGAGGAGGATTACATTTCAGCTACATTCAAGTCATCTTTGTTTAGCGGCTGTTTTCTTCAGATCCACTAATTCCCGTGCTTTGTTTTCCCGAAGGCTTCATTCACCTGCTCTTATTTAAAGAGCAGTAAAAGCAACATCCGAGTACCAGTAGAAACACACGAATCACAAGAGGCATTCGTGCAGATAGGCTCCAGAAGTTAGGAACTTTTCAATTTACTCAAATATTCAGAGCAACACATATTAATCTAAAGCGATGATAACAATATTCAGTTTGGGTGCGGAGCAGCAAAGCGCAACTTTGGACTGAAACTCGGCGCTTCGCTGATGTTCTGAGTGCGCCTGACACCTGCTGGGCAAACTGCAGCCACACAGCCAAGAGAGGATCCTCCTGCAAGCTCGCTCAAAACTGCTCATGTTCATGTCTGCTTGTTGCTTCAGTGAATGAACACGTAGAAAATAAATAAATCCGTTTTGACACAGCAGCATAAATAATGAAATGACAGCATGATGGGAAGTGTCTCAGCACAAAGTCCATGCAATTGTCAGTGCTGAGTTTTCTAAGACCCTTTTGGACTTATTGTAGACAAACAGCAACGAAAATAGTGTTTTATGGCACACTAAATCTAGCCAATTCCATAATCTAAAGATTATGTCCGTTTCAGCTCCGAAGGGAACGGCACCATCACACCTTAATGTCTGTTGACCAGTTGCCCTGACATCTCATGTGGTGAAGTCTTGGTTTCGTATCTCTCTGCAATTTGCATACCAACCAAATCTGACAGCGGATGATGCAGAGCTCACTCCCAGAAGTGAATGTCCTGCGAGGACCAAGCTCTCCTACAGTCCTACAGTGCATTCACCATCTTCAGACTGCTGCTATTGAGGGAGACACTGCAAGCGATGACTGAGCAGTCCTCTGTCTTATGTTGATGGGTAGTAGTGGGAAGCATAACCGATGGGCTAAAGGAGGCGTACAGAGCACTAGGGGATGATTTTGTTGGCTAGTCTGAGAGAAATCTAAATGTAAACAACACTAAAGAGTTGGTTGTTGTTTTTCAGAAGGAAGAGGGTGGCGGAACACCCATGTCTATCCTGGGACAGGATGTTGATGTTGTGGAGGTGGACAAGTACCTGAGCGACCAGCACAGACGCTGTATATAAGATGGTGACTAACAGGCTCTGTGTCGTAAGGACAATGACATCCTTCAGTGTGTGCAGCAAAATGTTGCAGATCTTCATTCACAACTCAGCTGTGGTGGGCTTTCAAAGAGCTGACACAATTAGACTGGTCTGCTTGGCTACAAACCTGTCAGGTGTGGCGGAGACAAGGTCCCTGATCAAGGGGGTATCCATCGTTCCTTTGCATCAAAGGCAGATCCAGGCAGAGGGCTAAAACAATGATTGGGATCAGGAATATGAATCCAACTCATGCTATATTGCACTCAAACTTGACTGCTAATTTTACAAGCTAAACCATTTTAGGCCATCACAAGATCCGATTTTACAGGATGATACTGTATGTTTTTACAGGACAAGGCTGTAAAAACACAATGACACTGCTACAATAAATACTCAAACAGTTTGGTATTATTTTTAGCAGATGAAGTTATACAACTTCAACTATAAGCTACATACCAAAAAATCATAAAATGCTTTTAGCCTATCAGTGCAAATAGCTCCTCGATATTCATTAATGATTGCATTAGCAACAATCAAGCTAACTTTACCCCTGTTAGCAGACCTACACTTTCTTATCTCACGTTGGTGAACACACACTCCGATGGATACACTGGGGTCCCCAACGACACTTGATACATTTTACACGTAGACTGGAATAGCTGTGAAATCGATCCTCCAACCGCTGTACCACCTGAGCCACAGCCACCCAACCATCACATTCATACAAAGGAATGAAATTAAAACAAGCAAGCAGCTTTTTACAATTTTTATTGTTGCTGGAGGCTCTAATACAATATGAGTCATAAGCTTTACAAAATAAAAACAAAACAAAAAAAATACAACAAAGATTCCCCTCCAAAATGGAAACAAAGGTTTCCACTGTGACACCAAGACAAACTGTGACCCCCAACAAAGACATAATAGGTGAGGATAGAGAAGACGTTAACAGGCTGAACAAAGGGGAAGCAAACTGTCATGTTATACAGTGTGTGTGTGTGAGGGGAGTTGATTATGACGAGGGTGTACCCGGCGATAATAACAGTCCATCCCTATGTTTGAGAAGTTTTCATTTCCACCCTCTGCAGCTCCACAAAGGCTCTCATGCATGTGGACAGAGTGGAAATAAAGTGTAAAAACGTTCTTGCTCACACAGAAAGGCCGCCCTCGTCTTTGCACCGTTTACATCGCCCAGAAGAATAACCACTCGATATACATGGACAGTTTTAATTCTATACAAATATATTTGAGTTTGGGTCGGGTGGGGGGGGGTGTCATAGGAAAAAAAAAGATAGATGCAAGAATATAATTTGATGAACATAATGACACCACTGCCAAGCCTCCACCACCTACTGCACAGTCTGTGTCCTCGTCACAGAGGAAGAGCAGGGCCAGAGTCGCTCGTTACAAATCGACTGAGGACATATCAGCTGTGAGAACATCAGGGATTATTATTAGAGTGACCCTTGAGATTATCATTAACCGTGATAATACTATCATATTCATAACATGGGAGGGAGGGGGGGGGGGGGGGGGGGGGGGGGGGGGGGAGAGAGAGAGAGAGAGAGAGAGAGAGAGAGAGAGAGAGAGAGAGAGAGAGAAAAGAGGGGCGAAGACAAACAGAGCGTGAGTGAATGGCTTCATGGCAGATGAGATGCATGAAAACAACCAGACAAAAAAAAGAAAAAAAAAAAAGCTAAGCATTTCTCCTTTTTTATTTTTCCACAAATAAACAAGAGTGCAGCACTGAAACAGGCATGGAGGAAGAGACATAAAGAAACAGAGAAAAGATGGCAGGGATGAGGCAGAGAGAGAAACAGAGAGACAGAAGAAAACAACAGTAGCATCTCTAGCTGTTATGTTTGCGTTTGAGCGCCTCCATCAGGTCGACCTTCAGAGCATCCTGCTTTGACTTGTCAGCCAGAGTCTGCACACTCCTGTGTGGAGGAGACACCAAAAAACAAGGTGAGAAAAGTCAGTGGGAGCAAAAAAAAAAATCAAACAAGAAAACATCAAAGGGCTCGAAAAAGTTTCTCCAGTGAGACAGAAACACTCGGGCTGTAGGAAATTTATTAGTAACAATTCAAGTCTTCCTCTCTGTGGGGAGACCTTTTTTATGTCTCACCACAGAGAGATTTCATATGGTTATGACAACATGTTAGCTGTTTACACACTGCACACATAACCACCCGTTAAAGTCAGTTGTCGTCATGCAGTTGCAGCTTTATTATGACCCTGACAAATTTATATTTTACACTCACCGAACACCAAACCTCTTCAACTGCTCTTTAAAGTAAATACCTAAACGAGCCAATCACATCACAGCAAAGTTGGAATATTTTATAAACCCCTGATCTACCTGCACAACCATCTCTAGGGTTTACAGAGAATAATGAAAAACTAAGAGATAAATAAGACAATTCACAGACTGTTTTGAGGTGACAGGAAGACAACAGTAATTCAAATAACTACTCATTATGACCAAAGTATGCAGAGGAGCATCTCGGAACACACCACAGTCTACCCGAGTACTATTACTGGCAAAGTCCATCCCTTTATAACCACAGTGTACCCATCTTCTGGTGGCTGCTTCCAGCAGAATAACACACCATGTTGCAAAGCTCAAATCATCGCACAATACGTACACAGTCACCAGATCTCAATCCAATAGAGCACCTATAGGTCGTGGTGGTCACATCATGTATGTGCAGCCAGCAAATCTGCAGCAACTGTGTGATGCAATCATGTCAACATGGACCATGCCACAAGACTTCAAGCAAAAAAGTGGTGTCCTACCCAGCAGTGGCAAGGTGCGCCTAATAAAGCCTCCGGGTGAGTGTATGAGAACATATCCACTTATTCTGCTTTCTTCTGAAGATGCCACCCCGTTAATCATCCATTTCCTGTTTTCTTTACAGTGCTGTGCTTTCACACACAGTGTTTTCAGTGCTACACGCTGAGTAAACACGGCATCTTAGAAAAACCTTATTAGGGCAACAAAGTGCAAAACAACACCCGGGTGAGTCATTTGAATACTCTGACTTGGTTAGTATGCTACTCTGTCAGAAATCAGCTGTTGAACACAAAGATAAACAAAACTTGCAATACAGCCTTTTGATCTTCAACACTGCACGATCATTCAAACTTCTAACAGTGCACATACGTAAACAATTTGAGGGGGGAAAAGGTGCTTTAATTTTTTTTCTGTACATATCTTCATTTCCCTTTGAATGTCAGCCTTCACTCTTAACAGCCTGTTCCTGTTTTTACATTTGCTGCTCTACTTCCCCATGAAACCTCTTTCACTGCTGTTCCATCCGATCAAAGACTAACTCTCCCAGCAAATAATGATTAACAGAAACTGTAAGGATCAATTGTCAGTGTTATTGAGGTTATGTCGTAAACCTTAAGACAAAGATAGACACACCCACATAGACAAACTTCTCCATGCTAGGTTGTACCTTTGACCCCTTCTCAATGGAGGTCTGTCGCTGGGTGAGCACCTGTGACAGCTCCTTTTGGAGCTGCCAGTACTTTTGATTGTCACGCAAAGACTCAATAGATCTGGAGCACAGAGGGGAGAGGCAGCAAGGGAGGAGAGGTGACAGAGGGATTAAAGAGGAGGAGAGACACTGATAGTGGAAATGTGGTACAAAGGGCAGCAACAAAAAAAAAGGACAGGAGCAGTTGAGGAAAGGACTGAAATGTTCGAAGCAGTTGTGACAGAACTGTATTGAGTGACTGTGTTTTTTAACAATGAAACACCCATCTCCACGGTGACGCCGTTTAAGTTTAGTACTAATTCAGGACAATGCACAACAAAAACAGTTTATGAAAAAACGCTATGTTGATTCCACATATTTTGTGGACTTGAATGTCGCCTACTTTGTAGATAGGTTACTGTAAGCACCACGTTGTTGTGGAAAATGAGTAATCTACTGTGAAATGAACTGAAAGCATGTACCACGTAGCCAATGTTTGTGGATTATGAAGAATCGATTTGAAGAATAAAGAACAAGATTTGTTTTGCAGCCGTTTTTTGCGGCCAATAAACAAATGGATCTTGTGTCCTTGGAATAACTGCATCAGCGAGGAATCTTTTGTGGCACCAGCAGTTCCTCTGTGGGCACCGAGAGTTTCACTACCCTGGCTGTCAAAAGGTCTCTACAATCTGTTGAGTCCTGAGCTGCATCAGCTGCTAATGATGATGGCTTAAAAACGTTCAAGGAGTTTGTGACGTAATCGGGTTTGTTCTACACACGGTCTGATTTACACTTCTGCAGTGAATCTTTGCCTACAACATCACGATTGGCCGTCATTCTAGTGTGTTTTGCGAATTACCTTGTGGTCATGTCCAAGTGTTTTATGCGATAGTAATAAACGAAAAAATTGAACTTTTCTGTCTTCTGGGTCTCTGCTCTTTGTTGTGATCAGTGATTGTCCTCTATATTGAGACTATGATTATTATTCCTTATAAAGAGACAATTATTATTCTCTTACTGATAAATTCAAACACTGGGGCAAAAAAAAAAAAATGCATAGGAGGAATGCAGTAGGCCAATCTCAATAGTTTCAGGATGCTTCAATGCAGCATGTAGTTACATTACCAGAAAGATGCACATCAAATTATGGCGGATGTTACATTGTGGGTTTTCAGAGGGATCTTCGGTTATATCACATGTACGAAAGTATAAAGCCCCTGTAAGCCACTCATTGAAATTGGGGTGAAACACAGCTAAACCTCAGTTACCCACAGTGTTGGTGATTTGAACCACACTTTGGAGCAGTGCTTCCAAAGATCTGCACTTTATAAGCTTGACACAGCGTCAGTATCGAGCATCCATCTCTAGGCACAGGGAAGGAGCAGGTGTAGTGAAAAGAAGACGAAATGCAGCTGAGACGAGGGGCAGCAAAAGCAGACTCAAATAATCAGATACAGGGTTGAGACTGAAACACAGGAGGCGAGACAACATCTGTCGTCTGAGCTGCTGACTGGAAGTGCTGTGGAAGAAAACATGATCCCATGATGTAGAGAGCTAATGCAGCAGTACCTCAGGCCGTTGACGATGTCCTTGGTCTTCCCAAAGTAGATTTCATTCAGTGTGGAGCGGATCTTATTCTCCATATCCTAGAAAAACAATATGAATGCATTATAACTGCTAGTTATATTCTTCTATTTGATTCTTAAAAGCTTGACTTCGTGAACATGGAGTTGTGTGACAGCGATGTAAAGTATGACAGGTTTTGTAATGTCCTGTGTGGCGAAGGGATTTTCCTCTGCTGAATGTGAAAAAACAGTAAATCAAGAGTGAAGAATGAAGCACTCACCACCACTGTGACTGTGGCTTACCGTATATGATGCATGTTAAGGATTTTACTTGTGAACTGCTTATGCAAAAATAAAAAAAAGTCCCCAAAAATATTCCCGCAGAACCTGTTACATGCAAATATACAAAGATATCACAATCGAGATGTCACGAAACTGAAACTGAATCTTATCCATCAACACTACAAAATTTCACACAGCTGCAACAAAGCCATGGCCATTTCAAACCACTTTTTACACTTGCACTCCCTGTATATGCACCCAACACAGGACTCCTATGATTCACTTTCTATCAGCAATGTGAAGTAGCACTGTGGTATGCTAATGCAAAGGCTTCCTCTTAGTCGGTTTCATAACCACTTTTGCGCCGTTTTAAGTCTTTACTTGAACAGCAGTAAGACTGGCAATGCAGGAAAAGAGGCATTGCAAGAGAGCAAAACACAAGTAAGCTACTGCTGGATTAGCTTGTTTATCACATGACTTTTGAAGTCATGCAGAGTCCTGCATAGGAGACTGATTCAGGAGAAACACACTGCAGTCATTTTACGGCTTTTAGCAGTATCGCTGCTTCAGACAAGGAGAGGGAAGGAAATTAAGTCGACGGCTTTACTGACTTCAACGAGGCGGCCGATGTTAGCGATGTGGGGTGAGGACTCTCCAACCGTCTCGTCTTTCTCCATCTGTTTAAAAAAACGGAGAAAAAAAAGAGATACCACGTTCAGTTAATTAATTCATCCCTATACCATGAGAGGACCAATCAGCCGTTTAGTTCAACACGCTACCTGTCTTGTAAGGCTGCCGCCGAGGTTCATGGTACCGGAGCCAGTTTTCGTTGTCTGGAGCCACAGCATGACAGTGGAGGTGAGTTTGTAGTGAGCGGTACGACCACTGGACTTCTCCTGTTTGCAAAAACAGAGGCAACAAGCAATTATGCAAAACATGACAACATGTTACCATCCAGAAAAGATAATGGTGCATGTTTGTGAAGCTCTGCTGTGCGTGTGGCACATGGAGCTGAGCGAGGAAAGACAACTACTCGAGCTGCTGTCAACCCGGTCCATTACCGTAAGTGCACTAAAAGCTTAGTTTTAACCCTAAACTCCAGACAGTCATGCAAAAGCATCTTCAATCTGGCAACAGTGTCCTGGATGCTAGAAGCTCTCCTGGCTGACAATGGTACAGCTGCTAAATATCAAACAAGCCTGTAAAATATCAAACAGCTTCATTCATCTGCTTCTCACCTGCACCTCCACCACATGAATGGAGTCCCAGCACCCTTTGATCTTCTTGGATCCATCTCCAGCCTTCTTAATGAGAATAACTCCTGCAAAGCCGTGATCCAAATCCCAGAGGTACACGGAGGAAACCCCACCTTCAAAGTACCTGAATAACACAGACATCAGATGTCACAAGAGGCTGAAACTGACAGGTTATCAAACACTCCACATTAGATTTCTTCTCTGGCACTTACAGGTCTCTGTACTGATCGAAGGCATTGTTTGCCTCAACCTCGAGTTTCCTCAGGCGGGCTGAAGGCATTGCACCGTCTTCAATGGGAGGTTCATACTTATTACTCCACGGGGATCTGAGGAATGAAACATTCAGATTTTAGACAGAGGTATATATTAAATTTAGCTGTTAGAAACATACTTGTGATACTAGTGTTTAAAAGTGAAAACAGTGACCTGCTTGAAGTGAAACCTTAAGCTTGCATTACACAAGCAAAGGTCCAAACATCAAAGGAGGTTAAGTTCACGGTCCTCATATAGGTGAAACATAAGTTAAAGTATGAAGACATTTTTTTTTTAAAATTTCATTTTATACTTAATTTGAGCTTTCTCTCAATGCCCATGATACCGTCATGAACTCTATCAAATGGGTTGCTGTTACATTGACTTTACATGGTGCAAATTTGTCAAAAACTTTGAAAAAATTCTAATAAATCAGGTTTAATTCTTGAATTTTTATGTATTAAGCTTTAAATCTAAAACAGAGCTAAATGATGTGCTGGTTTTATTACGATTTTTTTATTAAGACAAACTGAAAAATGTGCGTTCTTGGAAGCGTGGACATTTTGTTGCCTTTTAGCGTGACAGACAAAAACTGAAATTTCATTTGTTCTACCTCAGCACTATACTGATTATAACAGACACTGCCTGGCAAAAACAAAACATCAGAACCCGGAGATACCTGAGCAAAAGGATAAGAGCCTTGGGAAGAGAGAGGCTCAGGGTGGCATGGGAAATAATTTTCATGTGTGGATTGGCCACCACAGAGTCCAGACTTTAACCCCACTGAGAATATTTTGGTTGTGCTAGAGACGATTTTACGCAGTAGTCCGACTCTTCCACCATGATCAAAAGATCTTGGTGAAGAAATGAATGAAACTCTGGATAGAAATATCTTCTGACATTGCTTAAGCTCAACAATCACAGCGAACTTGTGCCACCATTAAAGCTAAAGGCAGCCCAACAAAATATCCCCATTTTTACCCCACAGTCTGCAGCGTATGTTCCTTTGAGTGGGCTAAAATGCAGCTATGACCGCTACCTGTAGGAGTCGCCGTCTCGGTTGTAATCACAGAGCAGATAGTCTTTCCCCACCACTTTGTCTCGTGCGATCTTTAGGGGCTGGTCCACAGAGGAGAGGAGGTCCTCACACAGACTGGGCACCTGGATGCAAACATGGGGAGAAAAAGCTCAGTACATGACCACAGATGATTAATTACAGCAGCTGCAGAGCATCTAAACCCCTCAAACATTTCATAAAGTATGTTCCGTATGACGTGAGAGTACTCAAGAGACATGAAAGGGTGTTTTGGTAAAATTAGCCTTCCTAGAACAGATACCAGCTTGGAGAGAAGAAGAAAAAAAAAAAATCACTGATACGTGGAGGAACAGTCTAACAAAACACAGAGGATCACGTCATGTGATCTTCTCATTGTAGATGAAAACATACTTTTAAGTTCTCATCTTTCGCTCACATTCCAGTTTCACCCCATAAGCAGAGGTTACTGAGAGGAGACGGAATAAAATATCATTGGGAAACATAATATCTGCAGGATAAGGGGGTACAAATTAGTTCTCACAGACTGACATGGAGTCCCTTTGCTATGCGTTCCTGCATCAGCGCATAGACACAAAGGAGCGCCTGTTACCCAGGCCAAAAAAAAGCCCCATACCCCTGAACAAACACACACACACACAAACACACGCACGCACACACACCTGGCAGCCTAGACTGGCTGAGACAAGCCAAACAAGGGTGGACAAAATCCAGTGGGAAGAGCATGTAGTGGTGAGGGTGGGGGGTGGTCAGAGAGGAGAAGAGGAGGCGGAAAGAGAGAGGTGATTTCAGATGATTACGTGGAAGAGTTGGCGAAGGGACTGAGCCTAAAGGTGCCTGGCAGCAGAAGTGATTGACAGCTGTGATAATAATCACTAACAACCAGCCACAGTGGTCATAGGGTAAGGAAAGAACAGATGTCCAGGTGGGTGGGGGAGAAGGGTTAAAGGTGAGAGAAGAGGAAGTTGAGCAGGTGGGGAGTCTGGCTGAAAGGGTACGGATATACCCACAAAAATAAGGTGCAATGCAAACAGAGGCACAAGTGTGATTTGATTTGTGTCCAGTTATAATCTGTCAGCTTTAGCCGAGACTGTTGTTAAAATGCGCCGAGTAACTCGACCAACTTCAAATACAGAAAACTGCAGGAGGGGAAGTAATAACTATCACACAAGCAGAAGTTTTTTTTTCCTCTTTGGTGTGGCTACTTCCACTCTGAACAAATATGATTAAACCCTTTTTAAAATGCTGAAAATAGTATCAGTTACCCAGATAATACAGTGGTGTGCAGCAAAACTCACTCGTATAATATGAAAATAAATACCACATATAGAGATATGCAAATACTTTAAGACATGCGATTATTTGAAAGACCTTTCCCCAAATCAGACCGACTGACATTTTATGGTAGCTTGATAAAACAAATCCATAATAAATTGTTATTAACACATTACTAATACTACTATTTATATTCACCAGCCATTTTATTAGGCACAGCCTGGGTTGGACCCCTCTTTTGCCTTCCGAACTCCTTTAATACTTTGTGGCAGAGATTCAACAAGGTGCTGGAAACATATCCTCAGAGATTTTCATCCATACTGACACGACAGCAGTTGACGTGATAGGTGCTGCTTATTTCTCGTGTGTATGTCCATGATGCAAATCTCCTTTTCCACCACATCCCATAGCTGCTCTATTCTTGGACTGAGATCTGATGACTGCAGAGGCTATTTGAATACAGAGCACTCATTGTTATGTTGAAGAAACCAGTCTGAGATGATCAGAGCTCAGTTCCATGGTGTTCTATGTAGCTGGAAGCAGCCATGAGACGATGGGTAAAATGTGGTTATGAAAGGATGGACAAGGTTGGACAGGAAAAATTCTCAGTTGGGCTGTAATTTAAACAACGATCAGTTGGTACAAAGGGGCCTTAAATATGCCAAGATAAACCCCCACACTATTACACCACCACCGGCAGCCTGAACTGTTGATACAATGCAGCAAGGGTCCAAGCTTTTATGTTGTTGCAGGAAGTCTGACCCTAACATCTGAATGTTGAAGCAGAAATCAACATTCTTCAGAGCAAGAAATGTTTATCTAGTCTTGTATTGTTAAACTTTGGTGAGCCTGTGTGAACTGTAGCCTCAGTTTCCTGTTCTTAGCTGACAATTAGCACCCAGTGTGGTCTTCTGCTGCTGTAGGTTTAAAAAAAAAACCAAAAAAAACATTACACACACCACACACACACCAAAAAAAAAAAAAAAAAAAAATCAGAGCTCCTCTGCAAACCTTTGTTGTAATGAGTAGTTATTTAAGTTCCTAAAGCAGTCTCTTCTTTGACGACTGGAATCAACAAAGTGTCCGTGTAAATAGCTGCTTAGACAGCTGCGTTAACAGGCAGTTGTGGTGTACCTAACAAATTATTCAACCTTAGAAGTAAAAGTTATCTAAAGTTTAATAAGTGACTTGTCCATTCATGGGAAATTTTTAGACTAAATACAGAGACACTTTGGAGAAGAACAGATTTCACTCTCAGTTGTGAATCAGACAGTAACTCACCAGGTCAATGAGGTCACTGAGGTTCTTCTCGATCTGCTGAGGAGGCAGACGCCTCATCAGGTCCAGAGCACAATCCAGCTGCTGGTCATTCTGAAAAACAACCAGCAGAGACAACGGCTTACTGCACTGTAACAGGAGATCACAGTTAAAAAATGAATTCAAAACAAAATGTTTGTGCTATAGAGAATAAACAAGACACAGATTGTGTGGGTTTAATGTTAACCCCACACAATCTGTCAACATTAAACTAACATTGGTGGTCTGCGGGCTTCTCTTGGTCACCACTGAAGAGAGCTAAGTTGTTCCACGAAACTGAAGTGAAACTGAGTGTTAAAACTATGAAAAGTGTCCACTGCAGCGACCGTCTGTACTGCTCATGACGTAGTTTTTCATCGCATAGATTTCTGCACTCTCTTTTCGAGCCCCTTCTGGCCGACTTTTCAACTAATCTGACCAACGCAAAGCATCATCAGTGCCAAACTAACTGCTGGTTTCTTCAAGGACTGCATCCAAGCATGTTACGTTTCTGCATGTTGCAGATTTGGTACTGTAAGTTCACCACAGCTAACCTTTTACATTTGTTTATTTATAAGGAACCCCATTAGCTTCCACAACAGTGGTTGCTAGTCTTCCTGGGGCCCAAACCAAGTGAAAGGACATTTACAGTATTTGTCTTTTTCTGTGCCAAAAGCACAGCTACTAACAGTTAAAGAGGAAAACTTAGATTTTACAGGCAGTGCTGACTGGAAGGATCACCTGAACTCTTCCTGTAACTTCATCTCACCGAGGCAAGTTTCCAAAGAATTCCTGACATGGTCTTTGTTTTCTGGATGATACACTTTAGCAGCCTGTGTTAACCAAAGTCCGCGGGTTTGTAACACAGAATTTCTTTGAAGGAAATAAACGTAAAAAAACCCCCAAAACCCAACATACTCAATCTGTCATCTTAAGATCAGCTAACACCTCTTCATGCACTGCAGATTCATCTCAATAATATATTCACGAGAATGGGTTTCTGAATGTCCAACAATGGCGTGCAGGGATGACACATTGCTCCAAAAGCAGATGCTCATGTTAAATAGGGCCAACAAATTATTCAGGGGCCAAAAGGTCAAAAGTTTCAGACAGTTTGTTTTTTATATTTGTAGCTGTGCACCATTAAGAAGAGAATAGCATTGTCTTAAAGCACACAGCCTCCATTCATCTGCTGTTAAATCCTTCTGTTTGTGGGGGACAGCCAATCAGAAGAAAGTGAGATGAGCCAAAACAGGTAAATGGCAAATACAAGTCTAATATTGGGGGTTGGGGGAAAAAAGCAGGTTCCATTTAATAAAGAAATGCTCTGCTGTGGTAATTAAAATGTTACTTAAAAGCACAACTTAAAAAAAATGAATCAGCTCTGCAAACTTACAGAGACTCACATTAACTGAGTAGCTGTATTACGCAGAGAAGTATAAATACGCACCCTCATGCTTGAGTAAACAAAGCAACCACACTGTACCCTCATCAGTGTCTCCACCACAGCACGGTAATGAAAGTCCTGCTACATTCTGTACACGGGTACGACTGCAGTTGCCGTGCAGGAAACCCTCACACCCTTGCAGGAAAACCTTTTCCCACACTGCTAGAATACAGACACACAACTTTCCAGCTCAGTAGACTGAACATCTCTCATGATTTGTCATGTGAGCATCTTGCAGAGAGTTGTGAAAAGAAAAGCTTCATTTAGGGTTAGGGGTTATAGTTACAGCACCTCAGTGCACAAGCTTGAAAGTTATCTAGGCTGTGTGGTGGTTCAAGGGTTCGTGTTTGGTTGATTAGTTTCATGTAGGAACAAAGGAGGGGAAGCCTGGTTAAAGAATCATCATCATGGGGCAACAGGAAGTGTGGTAGGGTAGCATTTAAAGGTCAGGTCCATCCTTATCATTCGAGTCAAACTTTTACTTTAGGGTTTAGGTAAAGAGACAGTGCAGTACAGTTTTTATTTGGAATTAACTGCTTACGGGTAATTCAGTTTTTAAGACTCAGCTGTTTACTATACATCTTATGTAGGAACTTCTCCGCTTCTGCAGACTGGGATGTGTTGGGAGACCAAAGGTAAAGCTAGCTGCTTGGACTGTGAATTTGGCCACAGATGAAACTTTCACACATTCAAGTTCTGGCAGGACAGAAACTTTCTAATCCAGTTCCTGCCACACACATACAGATATTCAATGACAAAATCCCTCCCCACCCACCCCCAAACGACCATTATCAACTTTGTCTGAATCACACAAGCTGACAGATTTATGCGACAATAAAATAAGGTGAACAATCGAAGCCTTGAAAATCCTGCACTGATGAAGCCGTCGTGATCAAAGGATCTTCATCTTTTCGCCTGATAAGCGTACAACTACGCTTTGCATCTACACTTCTTCCAAACTCCTAAGGTTTTCTCTTTTCCCCAACCTTGTAATTGGAACCTTTGATTAAGTACTGCAGAGTGAGCCTGCGATGCAATCAATCCCCCACCAAGCTGAGTCAGACAGATGCCTCTCATCTCTCTGTCAATCTGGCTTGTAAGACGATGGCTACAACTTCACAGTAAGGTTAAATCAATACACAGCCTAAAGGTACATTTGGTAGAATGAGCAAAAACAGTGCACAGTAGCCATTATCTGCAGAACCAAAGGCACCAAAATCAATTTAGTGTCTTTACTACAGTCCGAACTAAAGTGGACTCATTTCAACTACAGTGTGAAGCAGCAGATCCAGTTGTATTAGCAATAACACATGTTGTTACCTTTATATGTTCCTTTAAAAAAGAAAAGAAAACAATGAAACCTGAAACAGCATCTTGGTCGTGCATCAGGTTTAGGATTAGGGAAATGGAAACCACTACAGTTATCTTTCACCAAGCAAACCATTCAGAACTAAATTAAGAACATGGTGATAACCACAGAGCACTGACATAACATAGCTTTTACCCCCAGGGGGTTTTCTGCCTTAACTATGCAGCGAACAGCAGGATGTTGGAGAAGAGCAGTGGATGGACCGGCCACAACATGAAACTCTGGGGAATGTGCCGGAAATTTTTTTTAAGTGTGTGATAATAAAAAGGACCAAACATGTTTTTCAAGCTTCTCCATAGAAGGTACTGGCTTTGTCGCAAACACTTCCAGCCTGGCTTTATCAGACAATGATCAATGTTTTGACTGCCACTCAGCAATCTAGCTAAACATGTTTCATAATGCCTACCGTACTTAAAAGCCATTAACATATATGGATTTACTTTACAATTCCTCGATCCTGACATCCATTACAAACAAAAACGTGCTTATGATGTGTTTGGCGGCCAGAAAACACTGAACATGAAGCGAAAGAGGCTTCTAGAGGTGAGACAATCTAATATCACCACTCAAGTAAAGCCTTAAGAGAGTAAACCTAATAATCCATTACTCATAGCTCCTCAATCCATCCATAAATATTTTTCCTTAAGGGCGACCCGAACGTAACAGAATTTTTTAACGCAGATTTTCCCAGGCCACTTTGTCTCCTCCGAGATGATTTCTGCCTCGTTTCACGTTTCTCTCAACTGAAGGTTCCATCAGACACCTGTGCTTCTTGACACTGTGTTTAACAGCGCTCCTGTCTCCATGTAAACACTAGCTCAGACCAACAAGCCTCAGGGTCAGGGGGGAACGGCGAGGCTGGGCCCCGCAGGATGGATGAGGTGAGGAAGAGGAGAGAGTAGGCGACTGTGGAAGAAAAACAGCTGCTCTTCCCATTTTTCGAATGCTTTTATAAACAGTGTAAGACAGAGCAAGCCCATTTTACAAGTGGTCAAGTCAAGCATTATTTTTATATATATATATATATATATAAGCACAAATACGGGTCCAGTTAAAGCAAGCCTACTGCTATATGGGCTGAAAACGTAGGAGAATGAGCCAAAATAAGGAATAAGTAAACAGTGAGTGCTGTGTTGGTATGGATTGTTTGGACTGGGTGTAATAGCCTCCTCCAGAGAAACCATTAGCTCAGTCAAGATCAAACTTATAAGGCTGGGAAAATCAGGCTGACAGCTTGTCATGGTTAGGAATAGGAGGAGCGAGCGGTCTTATTTTAGCTACAGGCATCCCGGCGCTTGGCTATTTTAGCCTGTGTGTAAGTGTATGTGCACAGGCGTGTGTGCGTGTGTCAGTGTGTTATATTAGGACCCTTCGCCATTACTATTAACCAACTTGTGTTAAATCCAAAACATCCTGTGCTAACTTTATGCCTACGGGGCATGTAGCCCGGCTAGCTATGAGCTAACTAGCAGGAAGAAACAGCAGCTAGCTTAACCACGAAGCTAATTCATTCTCATCCGGTAGTTCAGCGCAAGTTTTGCCAGCAGTGCAAGTTAAATATGCGTCGATGATTTATATCATCTGCTGCTCCTCTCCGGTTACTACCGTGCGCCTCTAGCCAGCGCTAGCTTAGCTTAGCACCCCCCTCCCTCCAGTTAGCAGCCCCGTCCCCGTCTCTCCCAGCAGCCTGAACGCGGCCCTTACCATGTCTGCGGCGGTCTCAGCTGGGCAGGAGAGAGCACGACTTCACCGATGAGTGTACACCCTAACTTTACTATGGTTTAACAGGTCGCTCCTTTTGTCTCTTGTTGCTTTGATGTTTTTTGAGAGCCGTGATGAAGATGTTTTGTTCGCGTCTCCCTCTCTGAACCCAGCCCTGTCAGCGAAATTCACTTCCTCAACCGGGCTACAGGAAGGAGGCTGCAGTCACAAAAACAGGCCCCGGTTGCATGTCCGGGTCACTCTGGCCTTTCTCTGCAGCAGCCAATAGCGAAGGAGCAAGAAAGGCATTGCCAAGTATGGAAAGAGAGGAGTGGTGTAGTAAATGTGCCGTCAGAGAGGGCAGCAGAGGGGGAGTTAAAAAATAAACCCCCAAAACACGGAGACTGCAGGCGGCGGCAAGTTTAACGTATACAGTGTCTCATGAACAAGAAAGCAGATCTTAATTTCTATTTTTCTGTGAGTTATTATGAACTACTTTCTCACTTTTATTTTTGTGCAATTAATCTTAAGTGGTAAGAGCAATTTTATATGTTTTTAAATTAAGTTATATCTTTAAATATTTAATAGTAGTTATTATAAAATAAAATCACTCCTAACTTGTTTTTGTTTTCATGTCATTTGTCTTATTTTATTGCCCTTTGATCAGTTTAATATAATCTGAATGTTTCTTCAAGTGCATGATAGTGATGGAAGTTAATATATATCTATATGTATGGTAATCGGTTAGTTATTAATGCTAAGGGCACTGCTGTAAAGGCAAGCTGATCACCTTTGATAATTATTACTTGTAAAACTGAGAGTTACCGTACTATGCAGAAGTCTCGAGCCACCCATAATTTCTCTATATTTTGCTGGGAAAATTAAAAATATATGCAGCTATTCATTGAAATGGAGTTTCAGCTTATATACTGATACAGTATATAAGGCAAAAACTGAGTTTGTGCTCTTCTGACGAGCTTGAAAGTCAATATTTGGTATGACCAACTTTATATTTCAGCACAGTCTGAACTCTCTTAGGCAAGCTTTCTTGTTATTTCTTTAAGCAGTCTTCAGGGATAGTTCTCGGGGCTTCTTGAAGGACATTCAACTCAGTGTGTTTGGAGTAATTGTCATACAGAAAAGTCTATACTGTATATACTCACAACAGCCTGAACCCAAAATTTCAAATTTGGATTTATCACCCCTTCAGACCTACTGCCACTGATTTTCAGTCCAGTTCTTGTATAATTAGTCATACTGCAACCCTTTGTCCCTGTTTCCCTTCCTTAAGACTGACTTCTTGACAGCCACGCTTCCACTAAGACCATTTCTGATGAGGCTTCAGTAAACAGTAGATGGATCCAGTGAAGGGCCAGACGCATCGCTCTTATTTCTTTTTTGTTTTTGTTTCTTTATGTGTGACAAGCTGCTAGCAACAAAGTGCCTAAAGATGTAATTTAAAATCAGTACTTTGCTAAGTTGTCTGTTGTCTGTAGACACAATACTGGTTCGTCCCAGTGTTGTGTCTTCGGAATCATTCAAGCATAAGAGTCCTTCCCTTATGCTTGAATGATTCATAGGTCAGTGATAAGTGGCTTAACAGAGAAAATAAACATCACCCTGAAAAAACTAGACTGAAAATGAGCGAAAAAGCAGCCAGTGTCCAAAGAAAAACTTTGAAAGACCTTCAGAAAGCCTGGAGAGCTATTGGTCAAGAACACTTTAAAAAATGTATAAGAAAGTCTGTGTCTCCAAGGAAACAAAATATAAAGAAACCGGGGGCGGGTTAAGACTTTTGCATATAATGACATTATGCCAACTAGGTTCTCCCCCTATAAAGAAGCTGCGTACATCCTATTTTGTTTGCAAATTAGAAACCTGCCTGCAAACTTCACTAACATCTGTATATTACTGAGTGTTTGGAACAGCTCCACTTCCAGCATAAACAATCAGTGTTACACACAGGGTGTTTCTGAGAAAATAAAATAAGAAAAAAGGCTAAATTCTTACTTAACACATAGCATATATAATCACACGGGCAACCAATTTCAGTGGCAACTTTGTTTATTTCTTTTAATTGTGGTTGCATTAAACTGAAAACCCTGGCCTGCACACATCTGATGTGCAACACTTTGTGAATGCATGCAGAATTTCCTGCACACATATGCGTTTGGGCGAGATGACTAATCAACTAATCAAAGTGGAAGTTTTAAGGTAAGGTCAAATATAACCCAGAAAAAATGTCTTCATCATTTACAGATGTCTCAGTGATTACTCAGAGGTAAATAATTTGGACTGTTTACATCATAGCAAATATGCTGCAACATGAAGCCGGATACAAACTCTTAGTAACTTTTTCTCAAATACAGTGTTTGTGTCTAACTGAATGATTAAGAAATCAAAAAGTCAAAGGTCAAATGTAGTTATATAGCACTTTTGAAACAACAGAGCTGATCAAAGTGCTGCACTTTAATAGTATATAGTATTTATATAGATAAACCACAATAATATCCATAAAATTTGAGCACAATACCCAACATTAAAAGACAATAGAATAAAAAATAATAATAAATTGCATTTGTCTAAAAGAATGTCACACTGGAGCCCAACGCCAAGGAGAACAAATGCATTTCTAATAACAACTTAAATGTGTTTACTGTCTGAGCTGTGTGGATTTTGAGAGGTATTGTATAGACCTGGTGCTGTTGCTGCAAAAGCTCGATCACCTCTCTGTTTTAAGTTTGCATAGGAGGAACTGGTTAGACGACGTCTGAGCTCTTATAATTGTGTGAATGTGAAGCAGCTCTGACAGATACAAAGATGCCAGTCCATTTAAAGCTTTAAATGTAAGTAATAAAATATAAAAATCAATTCCAATGAAGGGAGCCAATGAAGAAATGGCAGGCCCAGTGTGCTGGGTTCAAGTTTTTTAATACCAGTATAAGGCGAGCTGGTAAATTCTGGACTAACTGAAGGATATATGATTGTTGTATACCAAAATCCAGGGAATTACAGTAGTCCAGGCGGGAAGTGATTAAAAAGCATGAATAACCTTTTCCAGGTACTTCTGTGGGAGATGAGGCTTTACCTCAGGCATGAAGCTAACTTTAGTGACAGCCCTTATTGTAGATCAATTAATAAAACAAAACAAAAACCACGCCAAGTAATTACAATTTAAAGTTGTAATTTTAATTTCATAAAAGCTAAAAAGAAGAAAACGAATGAAAAGATAAAGGAAAGTGAATGGCAAAAGCCGGAATACTGACGTGTTATTACCGGACAACACATACACTGAAGGAGCCCTGAAGGAATGAGTCATGTGACTTCATGCTTTTCTCGCGAGATCTTCCTGACTGCAGAAAACATGGCAGACGAACACGCGCGGAAGTGGGACCGCTGCCTTGCTGACACAGCGGTGAAAACAGGTTAATTTCTTTTTATACACGCAGTGTAATTGTTTGCTGCTCTTATTAAACACTTGGCTGTGTGTGAAACCTGGAGAATAAGGCGCACTACAGGTCAGAGCCGAGCGAGAAGTCATTTTAGCTGGACCTTAGTGTGACACTAAGGTCAAAGTTGTCTGCTGTACAGATGAAACTTAATATTTGTTAACTCTGTAGTATTATATCATAAAAAAGCAGACATAGCCACGAGGTGGAAGTTATTACCTGTGTTTGAGTGGGAAAGTGTGCGAAGTCACGCCCTAAAGCAGATTAATTTATCTGTTTTTGGACTCTCTTGATCTACCTGCCCTTTCTCCACTACTTGCAGCCTTAATCAGTATCTTACAGCGATTATAAGGACCGAATAATTTATTTTAGTTATAAAACCAAGCAATGTCTGCAGTTACAGAAGGGATATACAAACTAATAAAATTTGTTAAATGAAATTAAAACAACCTAAAACAATTCTGCGAACCTGGAAAATAACTAACTAAAATAAAACAAAACAAAAACGAAGCGGCAATATCCTTATTTATATTACTTGTTAGTTTAATTAAACAAAACTTCTCACAGCTTTCCTGACGAGGCTTTGATGGATCCGTTTATTGAGACTCTGGGTGTCTACAACACTGTCAGTCAACAGCTTACAGAAAGTGTATTTTTTTATGTAATTCCTGCACTGATTTTCTGCTATACACTAATAATAAATTTTTTAAATTAAATTAAAAAAATAACAGGAAAAATAATAAAAACGAAACTAAAATTAAACATGAACAACAGAAAGTAAACTGACACAAGAAAACCTGCTCTGGAAACTGAGAGTAAACTTAAAGAAAAAACAAAAGGACATTTTTAAAAAAGAACCTGTTAAAATACCAAGTTTTTTATGGTCAGTCTGTCAGATAACAACCAAATAACAATTTTGTTTGGTTTATTTGGTTTTGTAAATGCTAGTTAACAATCTATCAGTGTCTTTTTTCCACACCTTAAATATCTATTTATATGACAATAACATAGTTGTTTATCACAGTTAATCTAAGTACAGGTTTGTGACATCAGTGTCTGTATACAAACATTTAAAGTTGTAATATGTAGGGAGCAGATAACATTTATTTTTTGTATATACATTTGATATAAATCTTAATATGAACACCTCATTTCTTTGCCTCTGTGTTTTTTGCATGTACACCTGGTTTATTGCACTGCTGTTTTTTGTTGTTTTTTATTTTTCCGTTGTGGAGGTCAGGCTATATGGGCTCTGTTCTATTTATTTATTTTTTTAATTAATTTTCTCCGCTGCTTTGCTAAGACTACTGTAATCTGCGCTTTACGTCAGGCTCGCTGAAAAGAAGAGGTGTAGTCAGGTGACCTTTGAACTAGTTTTACTGGTTTTTATTCATTTTTTGAACTTGAATCTTTATTCACACCAGGCATTCATTTGGCAGTTAAAGTTTACGCAAAAATCAAAAACAGATGTTTTAAGAATTTCATATTTGTAGTGTAAAGATGTTTGTAAAGATTTTTTTTTTCATTTTTCTTTTTTTGAACGAAGAAAAATGTTGGCATGCAGTTCAGAGTAAAAAAGGGGGAAGTCTCATTTTTAGTTCACTGTTTTGCGAGCTAATTGTTAAAACAATTTTATGTAATTTTGTTTAATATTATTTATTTTAATTAGATAAATTTAGCCCATTATTAGCAGGAAGTGAAGCACTGAGAGAAGAGCGTGAATGAGCAAGTCTTTCTTCTACTTGTTGACTTAACAAAAGCTTAATTTTTCACCATTATCTCTTTGATATTTAATATCCATAAATTTCATGGCAAAATAACAATACACAGTATTGAACAGTTTGCAGCAGACAGGCTTAAATTGCCAGAACCATCAGTTATGCAACAACACAAGCAGGGATTTCTTTCACAGTGAGAGCATTATTGAAATTTATAGATGTTTTACTTTCTTCACTGGGCTCTGGCCCTCAGTGAAAGTCACTGCTGGTGAACCACCAATGAGTTACAGTGAGCACACCGCCATGGGGTCTTCTGTGGTATTCTGTTCAGTGTTGGTCCAGCACTAAAACACTTAGACTGGCAAAACATCTGTTCAAAGATACACCTAATGACGTCAGTCTTAGCACAATAAAATGTGTAATCTTGCTGGGAGGAAAACATCTGCATCGTGGCACTGCTTCGTGCTCAGTGGAGCAAATTGCCAGCTGTGCCAAGGTGTGTCTGGTAGCCAGAGAAACACTGCAGTACATGCTCTGCTCAGGGGGTTGTTAAAAAAATAGCTTAGCTGATCCTACATTTATATTCATTCAAGCTTGTGTGTTTATCCTATCCTTGATGTGTTAAGAACTCCCAGGATTTTAATAAAGCGAGACATAATGCTATTTTTTTTTCTCACAGCTTCAGAATATTTAGATAATCTGTTGCATGATTTAAAATAATGTTTGCTTCAAAATAAAAGTAGAGAGTGGGAACTGTGACTCAAAATGTAGCTAAAGATCACATTTTTCTTACAGCTGTGATGAAAACAAGATGAATAAATCAAGCTCTTTTTATAAAGGGACTGAGTTTCATGTAGAGTGGTGTTAAGAAAAGAGCCGTCATCCTCTTCATAGTCAGGAAAAACGGTGTTTACCGGACATGAAGTATTTAATTTGAGGAACTTGTAAACAATGCTAATGAGAACAGCCATTAATAGTGAATATTCATGTCATTTCTAGAAACACTATCACATTGTTGGAACAGGAAGACTTATGTGTGCATGCAGCTATTTAAAAGTGATTCAGCATAAATACATTTTATAAATGCTTCATTTCAAACTAAACCCCTAAATATCCAACCGATGCTTATTTTGCCAGGGGTGCTTTTGTGTTCCCTACCACTACATTTTGCATACTTTAAAAAAAAAATGTTTGTCTGTCTTCTGATCCATAAAGGTTGGTTAAAACTTTATATAATAGACTGCTCATGGTTGGTGCCTCAACACATGTCCGTGCACCCTCAGCTTTAGCTGTTAAAGACGCGAGTCCGCACCGTTGCAGTTTAAGAGGCGCTACTTTAGCCCCGTTCTCACTGATTGAGACGGGCTGTAACTGTGGTTGTTAAGATTTCAACTGCGCATCATGGTGATTTCCAAGCTGCTGTTTTTCTGAACTCGTCTCCCAAAGAAGGTTTTATGTAATTATGGTACATCTAGATATGGCCACAATGACACAGATTCAACCATAAATGAGCCACAGCTTCACCTTTTTTAACCAGAAAGAGCAGATACAGCTGTGCTGACAACCAGCAGCTGTGCACTCTCCAAGATTGGTCTTTTTAGAAAGAGTGTTGAGTAAGAAAAGCGTCAAACTGTTCCTGCTTTCTGTTGTATTTACAGAGCACTTTACTATTATAACCGGACTGCTTGGGTCAGCGGGAATGCAAAAACTATTATATGTGTATAAAGTATTGTGCAGGACGGCAAAACTATTACAGAAAAAAATTCACTCAGCAATCCTTCAGGAGCTCTTGGGTATTTTTTCCCTCCAGGTGTCGACCTGTTTGTAGAGCCTTATTTTCATTGTTGCATCATCTGTAGTTTAAGGTCTTCGGTCGTCTGTCACACACTTCTAAGATTATTTGCATTTTTTCCATGAATCCATGAATCTGAATATGAACAAGACTTGCGAGTCCACAGTCTTGCTTGCTAACGCTGAGACAGTCTTTTGTCTGTCCTGGCTGTCTATCCAATAGTTGTTTTAAATATTCCAGTTGTAATCCGAGTGGTAGACTTTGCTAACACTGTCATGTGAACCAGATGAATGTGGGAATCTGTGTCTCACTTCTTGCTGCAGAATGCATCTCCTGTGCAAACAGATTTCCTCCCGACTTTGTTTACGCCGGGCTATTTGGAACTGCGCGTCTCATTTTGGGCGAGTTTGATTCAAAGACGTCTGCTTTCTGCGTTATGTTTAAATCGACTAATTCATGTTTGCACGTTTGTCTAGTGATGCCAGGCTGTGCTATCCCTAAACGCACCCCACCAGCCAGGCTGAAAGCTGGAAACACAAGCGGTCTGTCCAGAGTAGAGCTGCAGAATAAAAAGAAAATATTGTTACAATTTCACATTGTTATGACCTTGTCATGTTTGGCAGAGTAATTTCTTTAGTTAAAGCAGAGCAGATCCTCAACAGTGGCCTCTGTCCAAACACACTGAATCATCATTAGTTCTAAAAGGAAACTATGCACTCAAAATCATCTTAAAATTGCAGTGTTGCAATGCAACAATATTTGCCAGGGGTATACGACTCGAGTTGTAATTGAACTAAATTCAGTAAATCGGGGTAATTAAAAGTGACTTATTGATACCATTTGCAGAAAATACTTCAGCTAATGATTAAATGAATAGCAACCCAATTAACAGGCTCTGGACTTGATTTGCTGGCAAAGCACGTGGAGTATTTTCAGCCCTGTGGGTTGTGTATTTCATTCTTCTCCAGCACAAATGTTTTTGTTATAATCCACCCCTCCTTTGGAGATGTCAAGACAAAAGGAAAGATGCCAAAATGAGATGTTGATCTGCCCTCAGTTTCTGCCAGTGCTTTTACTGTATTACAGTCAGTGGAAAATCAAGAGGCTTCAAAATATGCTCTGGCTGGAGAGCAAAGGAAGACTGTGGCTGTAATAGACGGCAAATCTTAACTTCATCTAAATCTTTGCTTGAAATGGAAGCAGAAGGAATGATTTATTGTTGATGTGTGCTGATAAAGAGGATGAGCAAAGTCTTTTGTGGTCTTGTTTGACATTTGTAAGCTGTGTAATGGGGAACAGTCTTAGGGTTCTGGTTCAGGCGCACCGGTCATGCTGCATAGCTCTCTGAATCCAATTAGGAGTCGGAGGGGCCCAAATGGCTGTTTTTATGTGCTTTCTGTGCTGGCTGGCCTGCTGTTGGGTGTGGTGTGGCCTGCAGCGAGGTGAAGTTAAACGCACAAACACATTCCTCCTCAAGATCCCACTCTGGACTCAGGAGTTCGAGCAACTTTGGCAATCTCTCTGCGCACCCACTGACCTCTCACCTCTCCTGCTCTCTGCGTTTCTCCTCTTTGGATTGGTTCCCCCTCTCCTGAACCCCTTTTACGCTTTGCTTTCTTTCTAAGTTGTTTTCTGTGTTTTCTTTTTTCTTTCCTCCCCTTTATTCCTGTCTTTTGCTCATTAGTTTAGTCTTGCTAAGTGGCGCTACCTTCCAACTTCTGCACCAAATATTCGCTCATTACAGCCGACCAGATTTTTAGCTGGCCAGTTTTCACGCTGGATGGGAGATGATCACATTACCTCAGTAATAAAGTCAAATCAATAGGAGGTAGTTTAATAAAACCACTAATAATTCTCTCTCTTTGCAGTAACGGGCCTCGGTGTTGGCATTGTGTTCTCGCTCATTGTCTTTAAACGTAAGTATTATTTCAGAAAACCCTCCTTTTCCTTTCTCTTCTTTTCTTTTCTTAGTAAGCCATCCAACAGGGATTATTTTTCTCCGCTAGGTCGCGCGTGGCCTTTGTCATTTGGTTCAGGCTTGGGACTGGGCATGGGCTACAGCAACTGCCAGCATGACTTTAGGTCACCATATCTGATTCATGGTCGCATGGTTAAGGTAAGCGCACAGTGTAATTTTCATTGTTTATCAGAGGTCTGTGACACACGATCACATCATGCTGCATGACTCCTCTGTGTTCATTTTTCAGGACCAGTAATGAAGGACTGAAGATGACGAGGGCTTTCTCATCTGTTTATTGTAATGCTTGTTTTTGGGGGGGATTGAGTTTTTTTGGGGTTTTTTTGCTGCACTGGTATTAATCTGCAATGATGCCCACACTGTGTTTATAAAACATTAAATATATATTTAATAAAGTCATTGTGGGAAAAAGCTTTGTCTCCTCGGTTTTTCTGTGCGAATGTTCGAGAAGAATGAAGTGTGGTTTGGGGGTGGGAGGTAATTTTGTGTGTTAATGAGCTGGGAGACTCGAGCTCCTGCTGTTTTGGAATGAGGGCCAGGTTCAGCATCTGCAGCCCTCTCGGAGAGTGGGAGGATTAAAAGTTGTGCAGAATGGTGAAATAAAGGGGGATCAACTGTTAGATGAACAAACCCGAGCACTGACAGGAGAAAAATCGGAAAGAAGCTATGTTTGCATTCACATATCAGCCGCTAGTTTATGTCATGGATGCCTATATCTCTTTCTGATATCGAGAAGAAAGAAACCCAGTCTGGTTTTTATTCATAGTAGACCAAACAGGCTGCGGCCTGCTGTGGAGCCCTGTTTTGGGTTGCTTGCTATGACTGTGACAGTTTTCATCAGAGATTAGGAGAAAACATACTGGGAGGAATCTCTTCTGTCCTGTGTATTCATTGGCTGCGTGTCTGCTTGGCGAGATTGTTGTGAGTGTGATTGATCACTAATGTGTGGTTTTGCGGGCTGCTGGGAGAGAAGAGAAATTGTTTGTGTGAGCGTGTGCACATGCACACGTTTATCCAGCCCCCTGGTGAAGCAGAATCTGAGGAATGCAGAGAAATGCCATTTCTAGACTGGAGCTTATTACTAACAGGTGAGTTCTGCACTTTGCACGTCTGAACACAACACATGCCGTACACTTTCACATCAAAGAAAATACTGCTGCATGCACTCTCTATTACACACGCTCATATTTTCCCTCTTCATCACAGTAACGGTTTTCCCGGCACATACATTCCTGCACACAATGGAATCATATTCATTCCCCAAGCATTCAAAGGCCTGTTTCTTCAGAGCTGGTGTGCTGCAATGCATCAGGCACAGAGTAAGCCTGTCAGAAATTAAGCCGTGTCACTCATCCCCTGTCCATTAAAATATTTGTTTGTAAGTGAAGCATGAAACCGATAGGGGGGCTGATGAACGCATGCCAAGCTGAACACCTGTGAGCAAAGGTGCAGTGGTCGGTAGAAGTGCAGGAACAGGATGCCAGTGTGTGTGTGGGAACTGGAGGGGGAGGTGAGTGGTGACCCAGCTGAGGTGTAATAAAGCAGCCAAAACCCAAAGGCTATACGTGTCTCAACGTTCTCCATGATGAACCATAATTACAAGACCAGTAACACTACCTAATACCAACTACTCATCTAATGGCTAAAATTGTCAATGCTTGCAAATTTCTGCCACAAAGTACAAGACCAGATCCAGATGTGCCATGCATGTGCTCGGGCAAGACTCCAGCTTGGAGTTGCCGTGGAAAATGTTAGCATGATGTTACCAGAGGTGATAAGGTAAAGAGGAGTGAAGTACACATTTAGTTTACGTTTTCCTTTTAGCAGATTTTATACATAAAACAAGACTAATGGACCTATTTCCATGTAGTTACCACAGCTTGGCTCAGTTACTTAAGTAAAAGTAGTAACACTAAACCCCAGGACACTCTATTATTAGTAAATTAGAGAGGAAAAAGATCGTCCCATAAGTGCTATGCTGTGTTAATTTATTCATTTCACTAAAACATTTGTACATTAATTTATGTCTTGTTATGACAGATTGTAAATTGAATTTAATTGAAGTATGCGTTCAAAATATTACTTTTAAAGGTATAACTCATAAATTTTTAACCTTATAATGTTATGACGGCAGCAATCAATAATAAAGTAAAAGCGTACAAGCATCTTAAATTGCACTTCTTACTCATTAGTTAAACCTGTATAATTCTTAATAACGATCATCTGGCACAGTTTTATTCACATGCATGGCTGCTTAATTAGTTACACGTGTTAAACTGCCTATTAACCCAAATATTAAGTTCAGTTTTATTCACAAAGTGCCAAATCACAACAGCAGTTACCTCAAAGCATTTATATTGTAAGGTGAGAAACCCCCCAAAATCTAGGGCAAGCACCTGGGGACTTTAAAATAGAAACCTCTGGCAGAACCAGGCTCAGGGAGGGGCAGTCATCTGCTGCAGCTGGTTAGGGGTCTAATCAGCCAATCACATGGCAGTAAAGCTAACACATTTAGGCACATAGACATGGTCAAAAATACCGTGAAGTTCAAACATCGTCGAGCATCAGAACAGAGAAGAAGGATGGAATTGTTGCCAGACATTCTGGTCTGAATATTTCAGAAACTGCTGATCTGCTGGGATTTTCTCACACAGCCATCTGATGATGGTTTGAACAGAGGAAATATCCGTTCAGCATCAGCTGTCTGAGTAAAAATGCCTCGATTATATCAAAGGAGAATGACCAGACTGCTTCAAACTGATATGAAAGCATACTGTTGCTTACTCAAACAATCAACTCAGCTAAGGTATACAGAAGAGCTGCTACAGCAGCAGAAGACCACACCAGAGGACACATCTGTTAGCTAAGAACAGAAAATTTAGGCTACAGTTCTCACAGGGGTCACCACAACTGGGAAACAGAAAATTTGCAGATCAACATCTCTGGATTTCTCCTGCGACAACCAGATGGTAGGATCAGATGTGGTAATAATAAACAACATGAATGCATGGATTCAAACTTGCTTGTATCAGTGGTTCGGGTTGGTGGTAGTGGTGTAAGCATGTGGAGGAGATCTTCCCGGCACACTTTGGGCTGCCTCAGCACCAAACTGAACATCCTTTAAACACCACAGCCTACCTGAGTATAGTTTCTGACCACATCCAACCCTTTATCAGATCAGAATCAGAAAGGGGTTTATTGCCAAATGTTGAGCAGGTTTACAACATTAGGAAATTGCTGCGGTGCTTCAGTGCAAACATAGTGTCATAAATAGCACTTAAATAGACATGAAAAAATAAAAGTAGCAATAAGAATTAAAAGTGCTACGTAGAAAGATATGTGCATGAGATATACATGAGATATATACATGAGAATAAGAATTAAGAGTGCTACATAGAAAGATATATACATGAGTGCAGGTGGTGATCAGTGCCAAACATGGAATGATGCAGTGACACAGCGTATGACCACAAAGTATCCATCTTCTAGTGGCTGCTTAATTTCAGCAGGATAACATACTGTCACCATCACACCTCAAACACCTTGCACCTTTGGGAGTGTTTGTATTGAGAGATTCATATGATGGATGTGCAGCAACTGTGTGATGCTGTTAATATGGACCAAAATCTCTGAGGATTTTTTCTGGCACTTTGTTCCGTTTATGCCACAAAGAATTAAGGCATTTCTGTGGCAAAAGGGTAAATCTAATAAAGTGTCCAGTGATTGTATTTCAACACTGTGTGTGTGCATGTTGTATATTTTCACAACGGATTCCCCACTGAATGTATATATTTTGGTTCCTGTCAGTGGTTTAGACCAAGAGAAGACACTGACATCTATCAGTATCTCACTTTGGGTATGGACTCCAAAGGCCGAACTCCAAGCTTGTCCCCTTATGTTTCCGTTTTAAATTAGTTTTGAACGGAGTCCAATCACAAGTCAGGAGAACCGGAGAGCATAATGCATTTCAGCAACTGCTCATGAGTCTGTCAGTGGTTTCACTCCAAAGTGGAGCCTGAAATAAATCAAACCCTCTGAGCTTCTGGTTAGTAACCAGCTATTGTCATTTCATCATCCCGAAGTTTTTTTTTTAGTGGTTTAGGGGGAATAAAGGCGAACACAGCAGGGGCTTCACATCTGTTTACCAGTTATATTTCATCAGACATTGTGTTGTTAATGTTTCAATTTTCCAAACATATGTTATCAAAGCAATGCCAGATGTGTGTGCGTGACTTGAAATATGCCCTGTATGTGTAATATTCACATAATTGCATGTGTGTCTAGTTAACACGATCACTCCTGCTTAGGGAAACATTTGAAAGCGTTCCAGCACTTCCCCTCCCTCCCTGCTTTCTCTCGTCCAGAAACGGCACAGCAGGACCCCTGTCTGAGGGCTCAGCCGCGCCTAAACCCAGCCTGAGAGTTTTACAACAAAAGACAACAAGTTGGAGAGTGTTTTTCGGCGCAGTTACACGGGAATTCAACCCGGGACGGGAGGAGAACAAAGGGGAGGGACGGTCTGAGCTGATGGACTCGGAGATGAGATAGCGCTCATACCCTGCCCCAGCTCCCCATCCATCTTCTTCTTCTTCTTTCTCTCGGTTGATCGGACGGTTGCTTGTCTTACCGGATGATGTGACAGTTTTATGACAATCTGTGCTGGGATTTTCACCACGTGATCATACTGTTTAGTTACCAGCCCACGGTGATATCCGACAACCCGGGTTTAGGTGAGGGGGGCTCGGCTCAGCGGGACCGTGGCGAAGCGCTCAATTCCCCGGCTTTCGTGAGCAGTGGTAAGTGCCTCAACTGACCTCCCGGCGCTGTTGAAGAGAACGTACTTGATTACTTTAGAAAGTAACCCCATGATATAACCGCTATACATCCAAGTGACGCTTTGAGGTCGTCTCACCTTCTTAAATGAGCTGAATTAACTCTGGGAGTAAAAAATTACCACGAAAAAAACCCATTTACATAACTGTACAGATACAGAGGCTGTTGTGTGATCATTTTGTATGTTTTGGTTTATTTTAAAGGATGTTTAAAATTTTGGGAGGTTAAATGTAAATGTAACGCATGAATGCTAAGTTAATTCAAATTCAGATTTAATGGTCTCAACTATTTGGGAAAACAGATTTTAGCTGTGTCTTCCCTTATAATTGTATATGAAACACTGGTATATTATTGTAACGCTTTCCAGACTTTCGGCTGAAACCCCGCTCTCTTCTTTTTTAAGCTAAAACCCAGAGTCTGGAGTCCGTCAAAGCAGGACATTATAAACATATATATTTATTTTATTAAAAA